AGCAAATTAAAATATACGGATAATTCATGTTAATGCGTTTATTTATAAATAATTAGAATAAAATAAGTTTGGATATTAACTTACCTGGTCAAACCCAGTAATTGATTGTGTTTATTTTGAAAAGGTACAGTTACATTAACGTGTGCTTGTTTTCTTAAATGTGGTGGTTTGGTGAAAATCAATAAAAGAAATAACCGTACTTGAAAGTGAGAGAAAAAGAAGAAGAAAAAACCCTTATGACAACTGGCAATATGAATTATACGGAGGCGGCAATGAATAAAAAGTTTGAAACTTACGAAAATATACTAGATATCTGCACGAACGTCTCGTGTAAGAACTCAGCCAAGAACATTTTAAAATCGACAGCGTTTAAATCTCCGCCGCTGAATCTTGCAGACAAAATAACACTGCCATTTTACACTCTTATATTTATTATCGCTATTTTGGGAAATTTACTAGTAATTTTGACATTGATACAAAACAGGCGAATGAGGACCGTAACAAATGTGTTTCTATTTAATCTGTCTGTCAGCAATCTGCTGTTGGCCGTATTCTGTATGCCGTTCACCATCGTGCCAATAATGTTGAAGAATTTTATATTTGGAGCGACGATGTGTGTATTGATAAGATATATGCAAAGTAAGTAGTATAAGATAATATGCTTTAATTAAACATAACATTTTTATAAAAAAAGACATGCTACCTGCGCCTTCAAGTTATTTTGTTTTTCTTCCAAATAATTATATTACTGGAATGCGAGCAGTTCCCGTACAGAAGCAGTACCCGTAATTTTCATTTAAACGCTTGATATTTTACTTGCATTCTTCAAAAATTCATGTCAAATCAAGCAGATGCATATAAGAGACAGGATCTAAGTGTCAGTTCGGTAGTATGTATAAAAGTCTCATTTTAAATCACTTTCACCTGTGTGTTGTCAAAACTTGACCTTGTTTACTTTGGGGGATTCCATTTTTGTGCGCATGCGCAAAAATACTTACATGTGAGGCCTGTTAAAGGGTTTTCAACTAAAACAACCTGTTAACAGATAAGTAGGCAATGTGAAGAAAACTTGTTTAATTATCAGAATTTTAACATATATTACTATATTAAATAATTGTATGGCTTTAATGCGTAAACGATCATGCATACAAGCACGCCATTGCTTGTGTATGCGTTGGGGAACGGTACCGGGTAATAGATACCAGCGCTTAGTCTACGCTTATTTCTTGAATTACATCTGTTTACCTCTTAAAAAATGGTATGTTCAACAATTATAGATGAAAAATAGGTCCGGTATAACATAGACATAATTCACAGAATAAAATCCGACAATTAAGATATAATTGACATGTTTAAAATCCAGATAAGTTAAAGTGACATTTTATCCATCTAAGTATAAATGTTCAATGGTTTGTCATGAAAAAACTATCAATGATGAACGTGGCCAACAGAATTTTCTAAAAATACTATAATTAAAAATATCTTTCAAAATGGATCGGCAAATCTTAATTCTTTAAAAGAGTAGGACAGTTTTGTTATAATCTCAGTAGCGTTTTTATATTATAGTACACATTGTAATTTTCATTATAAATTACTGGTCACTCACCATTTTTATAGCCAATGTGTTGCAATATATTACTACTTCAACTCACCTTGACATCGATAAAATGAGCATAATGCACTTTAAACACTATTACATCGCTGTCGTTACAAAAACATTATGACTGAATATGATTTGCATGCTACAAACAGAGTGTATCATGTTTTCATGTATATACTTATAATGCAAAATGTGTAGAGTTAACACACTTCATGTTGAACACTTATTTTGATTGCTACGAATTTGCCAAAGACAACTAAATGTTTAATCATTTATCATAGCCTTTATAAGTAACATATTTCATCAAGTACATTTTCATTGTCACGCCTGCATGTTGCAAGCTTTTACAATTACATTTGAATTATTCGTTTCCAAAGGTTTAAAGTTGGCATACATTTCTTATGGAATTCAATTATATTGACATAAGATGTGCAGGTACCATCGTTATGTTTACCTTATCAAATTCCGTTGAATATTTGAAATGTTACTAGTATACAGCATGTTTAAATGCTCGTTAAAGTATTGTACATCCTCTACATACGCATCCATCTTTTGACAGGACTCGTTGACTCTGGCAAAAAGGTTCAACACATTCTAGTTAAAACAATGAGTCGAATTATTTTAGATCTATATATGAAGTATTTATAAACCAAGTCTGTACCATTGCAATGCTTTTAGTATCGGTCAACCTTTGAGGTATATATTTTTCATTTTACAAAAGTCACTTAAATATATATTTTTTAAAAAATGAATTCTTTTCATACTTCACATGAAATAGATATAAATCTGACAAAATCATGGAAATGATCATCACTTGTTGTTCTTTATCCGTGTGATATATTAAGCTATTTAAGCTTAGCCTATTTAATTATTTGTTGTAAGTATGCGCATAGCTTATTACTTTGTATTAATACACAACTTGAATTTTGAATTTTTATACACAATGTTGTAAAATATTAAAAATGTAACAATATGAAAGCAAATTGAACGATTAAATTTCTTAAATGTTCTTTTCCAACATTTAACCAACTTTAAATCCTAGCAATTTTAGTCCTTGCACCCGATAACTTGTAAATAGTTTAAGCTAGTTATCAAATATTCTTAAATAAAACATATGTTTATCTTTATCTCCACGTTTACTCATTGATGTAGTTTATCAAAGAACTTTTTGTACTTGTTCCTGTAATGCTAAAATATTTGTGGATCGCAAAACGGAGAAAGTGTTCAAGTGAAACGATAAACAATGTTCAATGTAGATATTTTTATATATCTCATAAATTTCAGATGTCTTATTCTTTTGTTTGTGAAAAAAAAAATAAGTGAATTGATAAATTTAGAAGAGCAACAAGTGGAATACGATAACAATATGACTAGTTCTTAAAGGGTTTTAGCTATTTCTGCTGAAATATTTTCATAAAAATGTTCTTATTTTCATAATGATAAGGTCGATTCTATAAAGAGATGCCTGTGACTGAGCATCCGCCATTTGCTTTTACTGAAACATACCAACATAATTCGTACAAGAACTTTGGAAGTTTGCTTTTTCAACATTTAATGAAAATTCTGTAACTTTAGGCTGCACAGATATAGCTTATTAAAAAAATCTATATTGAAGTTAAATAAAACAATCTTAAAGCAGAATGCCTCTAGATTCATGCACATTTTGAAAATGTTATAAAAGGTAAGATACTTTTAAGTGACCAAATCAAATTATAAATTGCAAAAGCCACTTTCAATTCACTAAAATACCCCCCCCCCCCCAAAAAAAAAAAAAAAAACGAGGTCAAAATATGCAAAAAAAAGCTCTCACTACGCCAGTCACACTGAGATAAATACTGCTAAATCAGTCATTTTTTACATGTAACAATCAAATTATTTATTGATTTATAGCTTAGTATATGTTTCCTAAGGTCGATTTTCTAGAAGTATGTTGAGTCATCTAGAGGTAAGCTGCTTAAACATCGCAGTGTAACTGTAATAACATAGTGTATCTGAAACATTTAAATAGACACATGTTACATCATGCAATGATAGTTCTTTATTTTTACGTAACAGATTAATCATATAACGGGCTTATTCACAAATAAAATAAATTGTGTATCAAATACCCCATGGAACACAACCATCACTTAATGATATGTTTGGAATTAAAAGTCAATGATATTTCTTTCAAAGATTTTTCCCTTTTGTTTAACTGAAGCAATACAATTTACATTAACGTTATACTTCTAACGATGATGAACAGAAATAGTTAATTTTTAGCACTAAAAATCATCTTTAATGTAAACGTTGTTGTGTTAACGATAGCGAAACTAAAGAAATAATCATAAAATAATCATGAAAATAATCATAACAAACGCGAGGTGATAAATCTATAATCTAATTAAAACTGCATAAAACATGTCTATTAGAAGAGAACTGCTGTTTGTTATATCAAGCTGGTTGCTCGAAGAATACCAATCTGAACGACCAGAATCACAATTGTTAAGCCGATGAAACTAGTAAACCGCCAAGCAAGGCTGTGAATCTGTATAGTCATACTTTGCTCTATACTGTAAAGTAGCTCGCTTATTATATTGAAAACCCCTGATTTTCCAATGGACTCTATAAATTCAAAGCAGAGTAAATTTATTACACAAATTCAGTGGATTAAGATTTAAAGCAAGATGCTGGACTATTATTTGATATATATTAATAGCCAGTCCGTTATTCGGATATCATCGACAGTCGCTGAACGCTGCTATATCATCTCGTTTCTTTGATTGGAAAACAAGCTGTGTTTGGTAAGCGCGAATTAGCACAGACATTTGTTTTTTATTTTGCCGTGATGTAGAGATGAGGAAAACGTAGTGGCTTTGTGTTTAAATTAATTCAAATTACTTCAATGTTTGTGGCGGAGCTAGAATAAAATAACACTTGCTATTTAATTTTACACAATGAACTACTGTTTATAAAGTTTTTATTTTTGTAAAAAAAAAAACAAAACTTTAAATTTTGCAATTTATAAAAATTAAAATGATTTATAAAAAGGGTTTTGGATTTTTTCCCTTTTTTTGTCGGAAAAATAAGTGTAACGGGTGTGAAAAGGGGGAAATTAAAAAATATTTGTGTTTTGGGATAATTTTTTTAACAAACCCCCAGTTGAAAATTTTATTTTAATAATAAAAAGATTTAAACTTTTTCTTTGGATCATTTATTTCGTGAAAAAAAAATGAATTTTGATATTTTTTTAAAACAAAAAGAATATATACAAATAAATTTATTAAAACATTTCATAAAAATTTGGTTTTTTTTTTTAAATTGGGGACAAAAAAAATTTTTGTAGAGGGCATTTAAAGTACTAGAAAACAAAACAATTCAATTTGTCTTTGGGAAAATTTCCCCCTAAAGGGGAAAATGAGCATGTTGAATGACGGAACAAACCCTTCAGTGAATGGATTTAATGAAGATATTGTATTAATTCCATCATAATAGACTTTTGACCGGAGTTTAAACTTACATTTACGGTTAACGGGGTAAAAGTCGTTCAAAAGTTATATTAGTTGATCAAAGTGCTTTTGGCCACCCGGATCTACATGTTAGATGTCGGATTATACAATCTTTTGTTTTGTGGACAGGAAAAAAATATTACGAGTGTTAAAATGATTTAAAAAAGGATTAAAAAACTACTTAACTTGAATGGCAAATTTGATTTTGTATTAAAAATAAAATAAAGTAAAGTCTATGTGATATTAAATTCCATGAATCATTTTTGATATAAATAGCATTCATAAGAATATATATCATTTTAAATTTGTGTGGAAAAAAACGATACAGGGGAAATTTATACATATAATTCGACTTTAGAAACACAAAGGCTTAAAACATTATCAACAAGAAAAAAATGACGGGAAATATAGGAAATGCTACTAAAGTTGTTATGAATATAACACTTGCATCTTTTAAGGAAATGGACAGACACACCTCCAATGTATCTAACAACGATACTGTCAAGAAAACACTGACTATAGATATGTTTAAATCACCACCATTAAAAGTTGAGGAAATTGCAACCCTACCATTCTATTCCCTTATATTCATTTTGTCTGTAGTGGGGAACCTACTTGTCATTATAACATTAATACAAAATAAGCGAATGAGGACCGTTACCAATGTGTTCCTACTGAATTTGTCTGTAAGTGATTTGCTGTTGGCCGTATTCTGTATGCCGTTCACCATCGTTCCAGTAATGTTGAAGAATTTTATATTTGGAGCGACAATGTGCATTTTGATAAGATATATGCAAAGTAAGTATTAAACAGAAACATATCTTAAAAAAAAACAACAAAAAAACTTATTTTCTATTTTATAACTGTTTCTTTTATTGTATTTTATTCCAAACAAAAACATCCGTTAAAAGGTAAAGGATTTTTTTATAATAAATCATTCGATTTTTAAGAAATGTTCGTGGCAAAAATTAAAACAATATGAGCCAAAGATGATGAAAACACGTTATCATACCTTGCTTTTAAAGATCCTGTAACACATTTTTTTGTGGTTTTATATAAAAAAATATGATGCTCAAATTAAGATTAATCAATATTGTAAGTTCCAAAAAGCATTATTTATAAAGATAATACCGAATTTAATATTTCATGAAAATAAAGGGAGGTAATTAGAAATTTGTTTTCTATAAATTTTAAGTCAAATTGTCCAATACAAAATGAATGCATATAATTAAATGATTACATTTAATATGTACAACTATTTGCAGTACATATTTTACATATTCTCCGATGTTTGAAAGTTGTTGTATTAGCATAATTATATACATATATAGTTTCACGCAAGTGTGGTATACAACCACAATTACAAAGCATACAGGATCTTTAAAATATGCTAATATTATTAATACCTAGAGAAAAAAGAAATTAAACACACTCAGTGAATTTGACTTAAATGTTTTACAACAATGTCATTACAAAAATTGTACAAATAAAATTTGCCAAAATATTTGCATTTCCATACATAATATATCTCGAAAAACGTGATTCCTCGGAAGCATTAAAACAGCAAAATAACATGAAAATTGCAGAGTCGGTGTTAATGAGTCTGTACATGAGGGATAATGAAAAAGTGAAAAAGTGAAAAGCCCCACCCCCACCCCTACAACACCGGCTTGAGCGGGACTCAATTCTCAACGGACACAATGATCCTGAAAGATATTACAATGTTAACAAACGATTTTAATGTTTTGTTATAAGAGTGATATACTAGTTAATTTTAATGAAACAAACATCCATATAGGAATCATAGCAATGCAAAGGCTGAAACAGTAAAATAATTTCTTCAATCTAGATAAATTTAAACGTGTTCTAACTACAATAAATTGTTTTAAAATTTCAAAATTCACCTCACTTATCGTTCTAAGAATTTCATTAACCATGAAAACAGAAGTGTGTCTTGATTTCCTGGGAATAGTCAAGGTTTGGTTATGAAAGCTATTAAAAAACAGTAAATACGCTCACGCTAAATTCTCAATTCAAGTTTAGATGCTTCATTAGTAGGGAACTATTAAATTTAGTATCTGGTTGTTATGGTAATAACTAAATCTGTAACGCATTGCTATAATGCAACGATTTTTTCCTGTCTGATTTTTGTTCTTCAGAAAATCTGCTGCCGTCGTTCCGAGTTGCCATAGCGTTGTGTAAAAACAGTTTTTGTTTTTTAAATGAATGAAATTTGTAATTATCAATATTTTCTTTTGTTTATGCAGCTTTTTAGCTGTATTGATGTTGTAGAAAAACAACAAAATTGTAACCGTCGAAAGAAATTGCTTTGAAGTGTTTCAGTAAAGTGAAAATAAAATCGAATATCAATATTTATACAAATACATTATCACATTGTTATCTAAACATTAATTTATACCCATTCTTCATTTTTAACGAAAGAATGAATGCTGTGATCAAAGTGGCAACTTCTGAAACAATCCCCTCAATTTAAGAAAACAAATGTTTTATTATAAATATGGGAGTTTTCAATCTATTTCTTGTTAAAAAGTAGGACGTTCCAAAGTTAAATCTTCTTAAGCATTGCATGTTTTGTAATTATCTTTGATGCGGATTTAATTAGTCATTTACAGCCCAATGAGATCGTTTTCGTAGTGTTTTTGGCCACCCGGATCTACATGTTAGATGTCGGATTATACAATCTTTTGTTTTGTGGACAGGAAAAAAATATTACGAGTGTTAAAATGATTTAAAAAAGGATTAAAAAACTACTTAACTTGAATGGCAAATTTGATTTTGTATTAAAAATAAAATAAAGTAAAGTCTATGTGATATTAAATTCCATGAATCATTTTTGATATAAATAGCATTCATAAGAATATATATCATTTTAAATTATTATTAATATTATTAATACCTAGAGAAAAAAGAAATTAAACACACTCAGTGAATTTGACTTAAATGTTTTAAAACAATTTCATTACAAAATAATGTACAAATAAAATTTGCCAAAATGTTTGCGTTTCAAAATTATTGAATATCTGGGAAAACGTGATTCCTCGGAAGCATTAAAACAGCAAAATAACACGGTGTTATTGAGTCTGTACATGAGGGATAATGAAAAAGTGAAAAAGTGAAAAGCCCCACCCCCACCCCTACAACACCGGCTTGAGCGGGACTCAATTCTCAACGGACACAATGATCCTGAAAGATATTACAATGTTAACAAACGATTTTAATGTTTTGTTATAAGAGTGATATACTAGTTAATTTTAATGAAACAAACATCCATATAGAAATCATAGCAGTGCAAAGGCTGAGACAGTAAAATATAATTTCTTCAATCTAGATAAATTCAAACGTGTTCTAACTATCCATAAATTGTTTTTAAATTTCAAAATTCACCTAACTTATCGTTCTAAGAATTTCATTAACCATGAAAACAGAAGTGTGTTTTGATTTCCTGGGAATAGTCAAGGTTTGGTTATGAAAGCTATTAAAAAACAGTAAATACGCTCACACTAAATTCTCCATTCAAGTTTAAATGCTTCATTAGTAAGGAAGTTTAAGATTAACTAAAATAACTATAATGCAACGATTTTTTCCTGTCTGATTTTTGTTCTTCAGAAAATTTGCTTCCGTCCTTCCGAGTTGCCATAGCGTTGTGTAATAACTGTTGTTGTTTTTTAAATGAATGAAATTTGTAATTATCAATATTCTTCTTTGTTTATGCAGTTTTTCTTAGCTGTGTTGATGTTTTAGAAAAGCAACAAAATTGTAACCGTCGAAAGAAATGGCTTTGAAGTATTCCAGTAAAGTAAAAATAAAATCGAGTAATTCACTAGCTATAGAAATACGTTATCACATTGTTATCAAAACATTAGTTTATACCCATTATTCATTTTTATCGGAAGTAGGAATGCTGTGATCAAAGTGGCATCTTCTGTAACAATGCCCTCAATTTATGAAAAAAAAAAGTTTTTTTGTAAATATGAGAGTTTTCAATCTATTTCTAGTTAAAAAGCAGAACGTTCTCAAAGTTAAATCTTCTTTAGCATTGCATGTTTTGTAATTACCTTTGATGCGGATTTAATTAGTCATTTACAGCCAAATGAGATCGTTTTCGTAGTGTTTTTGTACGAGGAAGCTAAATTTTTCCTTAATTAATTGATACGTGCATAAAGAAGAGCATGTTTCAAGGCAAATAGCCTTGAATTGATTTCCCTAGAAAGAAAATAATCAAATTAGTGAATATCTTTATAGATTGTTGATGTTTATTCTATGAGAAATTTTCTTGTGCATTTGGGTTTTTTCATGCGAAAGAACTATCCAGCTAGCTCTGGACGGCCGGTGGCCATACAGACATGTTCTATAGACTGAAATAGTATAAGAAAGAATATGAGATATTTTATCATCAAGAAAACTCAATAGTCAAATATATGCCTTGAAGTGTCAGTACAACTTAAAATATAATTATCATAAGTATTATTATTATTATTATTATTATCATCATTTTTATCATTATGATTATAATTATTATTATTATTATTATTATTATTATCATTATTATTATCATCATCATCATCATCATCATCATCATCATCATCATCAACATCATTATTATATTATTATTATTATTATTATTACTATTATTACTATTATTATTATTATTATTATTATTTTTATTATTATTTTATAATAATTATTATTATTATTATTTTTATTATTATTATTTTTATTATTATTATAATCATCATCTATCATCATCATCTTCATCATCATCATCATCAACATTATTATATTATTATTATTATTATTATTATTATTATTATTATTATCATTGTCATTATTATTATTATTATTATTATTATTATTATTATTATTATTATTATCATTTTTATTATCACTATCACCATCATCATCATTATAATCATCACCATCATAATCATTATTATTATTATCATTATCATTGTCATTATAATTATTTTTATTATTATTTTTATTATTATCAATGACAGATGTTAATATGTTAGCATATCCTTTCTTATTCTTACCATCGCAACTTTTATAACAAAAAAATGTAATATTGTAAAAAATCGGTTCACTTATCTGAAATAAGTATTGATCGTGATAACATAATTATCATATTTAGCTACAGTGATTTTTAAAATCTTACTCAAGCAATCCTGGCTTTTGTCGTTTTTTTTTCTTTTTCATTAATTTATTAATCCGTTGTTTTTTTTTCGTTCCTATCAAAGTATTAGTTGATCGAACTTAAGGAATGATTACTTATGCTGATAAAATGAAAATTCTTTTTGTGAACGTTTATAAACGGATACATCTGCTAAAAAATAGGTCAATATCCGAATGTATGAGTGGATAGAAAATAGTTTTTACCACACAACTTAATTATACAAGTTAAGTGAAATTATAGGGTAATGCTCCAACAAGACTTTACTATAATGACTAAATTAACATGAACTTACGTACAAGAGTGTTTCGTTTATGACTTAGACCTGTCTATATTTATACAAAAAAATAACCATGTTAAGGAAGGGTCTTTGAAACAGATGTGTAATATAAACACTATGATCTTTATTTTTTGTTATTTTTCATTTTATTTACTTATTTATTCATTTACTTTTGAAAAATCGTAACCAAGACTTATTTTAAACTATATTTTATAAATCTGAAAAAAAAGAAAAAAGAAAAGAAAACAGGCATATGAAAGAACTTCAACAAAAAAAGGAGAACATTGGCACTCATTGTGATATTCGAATTTGTTTAACTAATGTAAATAATTATATAAGTTTTGCGTGCTTTGTAGTTTTCAGTTTGTGTTATGTAGACAATCAAAAGTCAGTGATCACGGTCACTCTAATATCTTGCATTCATGTTTAAATGCTTCATTAGGACAAAAATGGAAGCTTATTGTCTGCTTGTCATGGTTATGAAAATGGCTAATGTTCAGCTTTTATTCACCGGTTTTTTTCTAAATGTGTTTTTTATGTCTCGCTGAAATTGAATCCTCTGAACTCTGCATTGGCTTATATTACTTGCGTGTGGAATACGACAATGCAATAGATAAAATAATAGGCTTATACAATGTCCTTATTCAGCAAAAATGAAAAGGTTACAGTTACATATTGAGCCTGTAACCAGACGAAAGATGTTATTGTAGCTACTTTCCATGCACCCTAGCACCGGCTTGTGCAGAAATACGAATTGGTGTTTCATTGGAAATTTAAAAACATCAACATGATTATTGTAAGCTTTTATTGACAGTGACTGTACATTACTTTTAGCGTTTAATGGTTAAATGTTCTGTATAATTTGTAAGAAATAATCTTGGATTTAAATTAGTTTTTAAAAGAATTAAATGGATTTTTGTTTCTGGCCACGGAACTATGCATTTGGAAATGTTATGTCAAGATTGAATGATTTCGTTTTACTTTGCATGTTAAGAGATATTTTGGTATAATTTAATCAATGATTGATGCTTTGTTATGTGAAAATACGTGTATGGAGAAGGAATTATCAGTGTATCATTGCACAATCATAAAACACTAAACATTTGTACCTGTATTGTTGTTAATATATATCGACATACACGGGATCGAGAAGAATTATCTAGGTCGTATAAATAATAAGTTCCTCCAAAAGCAAATCTTGCAAGATATTATTTTCTTAACTTAACAAGGTGTTGGGAACGATAGCGCTTTGACTTCATACATCTAAATATTGTATATTAGTGTACTCAATTTTTTTCTAAACAATTACAATAATAGTACTAGCATAAAGGTATAATAATTTCTAATAATTATTTAAAATCTTAACAGTGCGCTACGTAATAGTGAAAGTCCCGAATTATACATGATATACTTGACAATTATTCTAACACTCTGACAATGAGAAAATAAATCAATCAAATTAATCACCATACGATATCGTTTTTGTCACGAAATATTACAATATCAATTACTTTTTTTAAACACAGGATTTTTAAAATTTAATTAAGTTTTCTTTTTTTTTGTTTTGATCTTTGTCTGTCTGATTTTTCATTCTAAATACTGATTTTTTAAAACTTTTTTATTTATTTATTTTTGTTTATATATTTTTTTCAATTGTTATCATTATTAATTTAGTTTATTTATCTTTTTCATCTTCATTTTAATAACATCATTCATCCTCTTACGACCATATCAAACATAAAATTGTTAATTCAGATTTATTTTACATTCTTTTTACCTAGCACAACTTTATCAAATAAATATATAAATATAGTTGCAATGTCCCTACGAAGACAAACTAGTAAATAATATAAACTATGTATAACATATCTACATAAATACCTCTGAATTAGTGGATGCATCTGTCAATGCATTTAAACAAACTTTTAAATGTAAGGCAATCTTTTCCACGAAAGTCAATTTGATAACGTAAATGCACTGCAGATAACTACATCCAAACGTAATATACTAGAGAAAGACTGCGCATGTTTTATTAATATACAACAACCAAGGATGTTAATAGTTTCCTTCAATATACTATCCGCTTAAATTCACCATGTTTCAATACATCTGAATGGTCTTGAATAGTCTTGACTATAGACAAATGCGATGAAGACTGTTTTATAAGTCAAATTCAGTGATAAATTGTATGGATGGTGTAAATTGTTTCTTAAAGAATGAAAAGAAACATTAAACTTTATAGAAGTTGCAAATACTTTTATTATAAGTGTTAGTCATAGTTAGTTTTTGTCTAGTTTATATACATCATTTGTATCATCCAATATAAGTTTGTGTCTGACATAAAACTCTATGTCATATCTTTAAAATGTCAATATTTTTTATCGGATATGCCCAAATTGTTCAATCTATCAAAGAATGTTGTGCTTATGTTAATTTTCTACGTAGCACCTATAAAACGGAATATCCTTGGCATTCCATTAGATAACATGCAATCAAAGTGATGATAAAGTGCTATGAAGAACAGCATTTCGTTGAATAACTATCTGAATTATAGCGTGTAAAACAATTTACAGGTGAAGTATTTCGTATGTTGGTTGACAGTTTTATTGTACAGAAAAATTGCAATGATATGACTGATATGTAACACCAGATGAACCTTGTTCTACGAGTATTTTTAGAATAAAACACTGTAAATACTGATATACTGTAAGCCAGACACGGGTTTACGATGTTTGATTTTATTTCCTGTATGTATTTGAATATTTAATATAACATTAAAAATTTGTAAGTGCGTTGATTGATTTAGGTTGGTTCGTTTGTTGTTTAAGGAACGATTTGTATCATTGTTTGGGGACCTATCTGTTGAAAAAGTGTCAGAGTTAAATCGTATACATATACATGAACAGTGCGGTAACTGGAGTGAAGGTATCAGTTACCCGCACTCCAGATCATACCCGTTGATTGGCTCATTTTTGCTGGGGTTTACATATTGTGACGGCAGAGAAAGGGAAAGCGGCAGAAATATCATATTCAGATGCTTGATCATTGGTTACTTTTTCCCGGGGTTAAAATTGTGTCAACAGGGAACGTGTTTTTATGTTTGACTTTTATACAAAAAAGAAAGAACACCAAAACACTCGGCAATCTGATTTATACTCGGTGCTCTTTCTATTACTTATCTAAAATTCGTGTTATGTCAAAGTATTTTTTTTTCAGTTATTCGCCTTTTTCCAAATGTTGACCGTTGTATATAACTTACACTAAATATCTTGGCTAATCCTTGTGTACGATTAGTCAAAACTTCTGTTAACTAAATTTAAAAAGGGCATATTACTGCCACACATTTTTTTGGCTAATGTTAACCAACTTTTATCAATAATTTTTCTTTGTTGCCAAATCAAAGTTTATCAATTCAAACCAATGGTTAGCATAACATTTTTTATGTATTTTTACATACAACACAAATGTAAAAATATAGATCGTCCTAAATATATCAATAAAGTACAAAATGACGAAAGAAAAAGGAAGGGATATGATAATTCAGATATCCCTTTTGTAACCTGTATTAGAACATGGTAAAATAAAATAAGATTTTACGGAAACAAATCAATTATGATTTATTATGACTGTATTGTTTCTAATTTCAGTTATATCTGTGTCAGTAAGCTGTTTCACACTGGTTGCGATTTCCATGGAAAGGTACTTTGCAATATGTCGCCCTTTTAGTTCGAGAAAATGGCAAACGTTGAGTCATTCCTACAGAACAATTGCTGTCTGCTGGATTGCAGCGTTCATCATCGGCGTTCCTACAGCAATCTTCAACAAATACACCTTACGTCAACGTGGAAATGCAACTTGCAGAGAAGTATGGCCAGATCCGTTATGGTACAAAATGTACACTGTATTTTTGGACATCATACTTCTGGTGTTGCCTATAATAATAATGACACTATCCTATTGCACAATTGCCTACACTTTATGGAGCGGCATGCAGATGGACAAACAGGAAATTGGTATGCTCTATTTCATTTCATATATATAACGAATGTCATAATTATACTTATCAAGTATCATGCTATACAATTGAAATGCAACGCAAACTTTTGACTTCATTCAATTCGGCAGGTATAGTAATAAAAACTAAAATCAAAATGTCATGTATGATTTGTATTTGAATTGAAACAGTACAACAAAAACATCGTGACCGAGCAGTGAACGTTTTGAAACACGTTTCTTTCATCACTCGTCAAGGGCTCTGAGTTCTTTTATTTGAGAATATACGGAGGTTTTGTAACCCTTATTATTGTGTTGATATATCTGATCATTCAACACTTTTCCTTATATTTGTCGAATGACGGGTCCATTATTAATATGTTCCTACGTCTTTCGAGACGAGTGCCCTTTTGCTTTTTCTGTCGTTTCAGGTAAACGGCAAATTGACAGAGAATGTGATTTATTAAAATCATTTATGCATTTGAATTATATGCAACTATTTGTATACATACAAAAGAAAAGAAAGAAAATAAAACGAATTATTTTAATTAACTTACAGGCACAATATACCTTAGAAATCAAAACAACTTCGATTGTTTAGAAAGGACAGACCTGAGCTTTGTTACAGTAAAATAATAATTTTAAAACATGCTAAGATGTTTGTGACCCGAAGAAAGTATTACTTAATGTTTACAACTTATTTGTCATAGAATACTATGTAGCAACATGTAAACAAAGTTGTATATTGAATTCAATACAAAAAACGATTGAAAATAAAAGACATTATTATATAATCTATAAAAAAAGCTTTGCAATGCCTTTCCCTGATTGGCTAACAAGCAACTTTTTTGTAAAAAATAAAAACAATAAAAATATCAGGGTATATTCACTGTTTTTTTTTTCATAAAAATAGATTTTCAGAGTATATTCACCTGTTTGTCTTTTAAAAATCGATTTTCAGGAAATCCGCGAGTCATGCAAAGTTCGTGGTTATTCTTCTGAAAAAAAAACAACATCTTTACAATTTTAAGAACATTGTGAATAAGCGTGCCAATGCGCTCTTTTAAAAGACAGGACAAAATTATGGAAAAAGTAGACAAATTTCGATGTCCGTCGTACATGTATGCAATGACAGATATGATAAGCCATACGAAAGATATTTATAAAATATATAATTAAACAGATATGGACTTTTTAGCTGGTGAACATGATGTGATATGTACCAAACAATATTAATACAAATTTGTTCAGTTCATATTGCATCATATTCACCAGCTAAAAAGTCCCTATTTGTATGTTAAACGATTCTTTGATGTTAATAAACTGTATGCCTTTATATAGGTTAACGAGTATTTCATTTTTATATCGTTATCGAAATGTGGAAAATATCGTTCATGTACAATAACCAATTCTTATTTCTATCATGTAACGCTAAACAATTTCATCAGCCAGTAATCTTTGTTTTTACTATTTCAGAGGCACAAAACGGCAACGGGGCCATCTTTAAATTAGACAGCGTGCGCAAGAATGAATCTACAATCAAGGACGGTTTCGGCCGCACAATTGGACCGAGCGATTTGGATGAATTGAATAAACCAATAAAAGCTTCGACCAAAGCGAGATTTGTCACTCGCACTGGTATAAGACAAACAAATAACGAAAGGAGTAGAGCCGCGAAAAAGAGAGTTATAAAAATGCTATTTGCTGTCGTTTTAGAGTTTTTCGTGTGCTGGTCACCATTGTTCATTTTACAAACTTGGATGACTTTTGACATAAAGCATGCGACCGAGAATCTATCCCAGTTTATCCTGACATCCACGTATGTTCTAGGATATATATCATCATGTTGTAATCCCATTACATACTGTTTCATGAACAAAAACTTCCGCAATGGGTTCAAGTCGGCCTTTCGATGTTGTTACCGCGGTAGTGTTAGGGGAAGGAATGAAATGCCTTCATATTTTCAACAAAGCACAACCAGGACTGGTGTTAGCCACGCCATGTCGTACGACAAAGTCAACACAAAAGATGATTCAGACGAGTTGTGAAGAAACATTTACTGTGTAATATGAGTCTCAGTTTTGTTTAAAACAACAAATGTGATTTATATAAAACATTTGCTACCTGAAGTGACGTAATTTTAAGTCAATGCAGAGGTTAAGACGATGTGTATCAGTTAAATACATTTAATTGGAGATTAAATAATCACATGTATTATAATCGTGATGACATTGTAAGTGCTTTTCCACAAAATAAGTCTAAATAGAGGAATGTGTTCAATCTTAAGATAACTGTTAAATACCAATCCTTGACGCCGGATTTCTTTTCATTTTAGTAATTATGTGGAAAAGAATCGAAGCTTTTCAGAGTCATAAAACTCGAAGCGATGTGTTAGGCCTGTGGAAACTATAAAAAACAGATGACATATAATGTTAAGGTTCTTGTGCTTGTGCTGTAACAATCATATAAGTTTCTTTTATTTAAATTTGAATTTAAGAAACTCTAATATTTATTTTATAAATATATGACACATTTATGCTCTCGCAAAACTGTACTATTTCAAGATAGTCTTTGATATACAAATCATACTTGTTAACTCAATTCGATGGGAACAACGTAAACCGTTCTCGTTAGCCATTGTTCGACTTAAAACAAAGTGAAACTTGTAAAATAATATATATGAATGACTTAAGCGGAAAGTCAACTTAAGAGGGTTTGAGTTATCCATTTAAGATGATTCTGAACCATCCGATTGACGGTTATTTATTCAGAAAAGTTCGTAATATCATTCAGAAATATTGTTATTGCCTGACATGTTTTAGTGTGAAAATGTTAATATCTTGTCTCGCACTTTATATTGGGAAATTTTGTGCCTGACAAGACGATAAGGAATGTACATGATTGTATAAAACAAATCAATTCTGTAAAATGTACATGTGACTCATATTGCCAAGATAAATAATTGTGTGAACAATGTACCCCAGTTTCGTTGATTTGTGCTTTGAGTATAATTATTATAAAATAAGTAATTTAAATAAAAGCGATAAAGTACAAATGCATCCACTATCCTCTATATTTCCCATCGTTCTAAAATGTTAACATTTTGGCCTGAACAAAAATGTCGACATGGATTTGCGGTTTCTAGTAGCGCAAGGTTCGAGCTTGATATCGTCATCAAGTTATCAAAATAATGTGATGCCAAGTATTATGACGGTCTCATTTTGTAATATAATATATTTTGTTATAGTGGCTGTCATTCACCTTAAGCTGTCATCTGGTGCTGTCGTACTCTTGAATTGTAAAACATTCCTGATTTTTATAGAACATGTATATAAGAATACCGATGACACGCATTGAACGACTTCGAATGTAAATTTTAAGGAACTTCATACAATTTCTTAGCTTTTCTAAGTATTACTATGAATTTTCTTGGTACATAGAACACAAACCAGACCTGTGCTTGATATTGTCAGTAATTCAACGAAGAAGCATTAATAGATAATAAAAAAAAGTTAAATTTTGTGATAAGTAAAATAATGAAAATTTATTACGTATGCACTTGCTTGGAACGTAGCATGGTACCATTACTTTTAAGATTCTTCGTTTTATTACCCATGTAGAAGATTCTCTTGGCATTAATTTATTTCAGGAACTCGTATTAATGGATAATTTGTTGCCAGTAATGATTTTCAGCAACTACAAATTTATTTGCAATTAATTGCCATTCTGTTAACAATTTTTGGCATTATATTACATTGGAATGAAATTATACCCGCACATTCATCAATTTAAAAAAAAAACAACTAGACAAAGCTATCATTATATACTATCAATATTAATTTCTATGTATCAATTATCGTGCTTTATAATTAAAACCATTGGCAAATAATCTATAAACGATATGAATATCAATTTATGGTTGGTTTGTTTGTTTTTCTTGTTTTTAAAATTTATTTTATGTGTTTATTCATTTATTTATTCATTTATTTAATTATTTTTTTTATTAATCTATTTATTTATTTATTTGTTTATTTATAATTTTAAGTTTTATTTATTTTTTATTTATCTATTTTGCTTTTTATATTGCATTATTAAAGCGAGAATGCATTTAATTTCTTACCAAACTATATTGATGATAAAACAGTCAAATAATAAATGCGAAAATAACCCATTAGCCCTAAGCCTGATGTATGTAATCAAAATAATCTTTTCGAACAGTAGCCAAACGGTGATAAGCTTGATAAGTTCCAAACTCACTTTATTTCATCAAATAGAAATATCTTACAATAACTGCCATATGAACACAACAACAGCGTATGTTTCAAACTTTTCCAGCTCATTTAATGTTGCATTCTGATTTAAGCCGGTGCTAGGAGGTTGCAATTACCACTACTGTCCATGAACAGGCTCAATCACAATGAGCCTGCAACGTTTTACATTATGTCGGGTTCTCTTAAGGTACTTGTATTCTGTTTCACTGCCTTACATACTTACACTATTTTTCACTCCATGAGTTTATGTCGACCAGAACCAAGTTAAAGCGACACAAACGAATATCTACTTTTAAATTAATAGGACTTCGTAATTGTCTTTTCACGGCCAAGAACATTTCAGTACAAACCTTTTGAAATGTAACGAAAATATGAAACACTCCCTTCAGCTTTATGAAAATAGTAATGTTATCAAACTATCAAACAGGATAAGACACGTACAGGCCCCCATAAAATATGCAATCATTTTTTTCCCCTGAAGGGAATGAACAAATACAGAAATAAGGACAATGAAAACAGCACCTACAATCCGCGGTTATAAGTAAAAAAATGTGTCAAAATATGCAAAAACAGCGCTGACTGCGTTAGTCACACAGGTTCAATATTGTACTAAATGCTGCAAAATCACGCATGCAGCTTTAAATCATCAAGATTATGGCATAATATTAAGAAATATGAGTTCAGAGCTGATTTCTGTGCACTTTCTTGTTATTCATTGACTAACGAATTAGCTTCAAGTGTGTATCTGTTTTCATTGAAGAATAAGCTAAGAGCGAGTATCCCTAGATACTCACAATCTTGTTAGCGTTCCTAATTATATCAGTATACGTGTATTGATAAAGTTTAAAATGATATTTTTAATGCGCATATACCGATGACGAGTTAGCAAGGACAATTTTACAAGCCAGTTAACAGAAACAAAATCGAGCTATATTCTAAAATATTCAGCATTGATTTCGAGTCGAAATAAAGATGCACCATGCTAATAAATGGTAATCGGATTTGGCAACGCTACTGCTTACAATGTTTTATCATTTAATCCGATAAAATCTAAATCGTTTATTCCTGGCATGAGTCGGATTATTGAAGAGATAGCATGCTCTTTATCAAATGCTGTTCGTTTCCGGTGTTTATCTCATTACACGATGGCTGATAATATTATTTAATGGTTTAATTATGTAATGCAGTATTTACAACGCGTGCAATTAATAGGATCTTAAATGAATCGGGGATGCAAACAATGGTTTAGTGTTACAAATGATGTCTTCTGCTTCTAACTATTTGTGGTGCAAGGTACAAGATGTTTGTTGGGGTTTTGTTTCGGAAGAACAACATGCAGTCTGACTTTGGATAAGATTGACCTATGACGAATATCAACATAAGTAACCAGGTTGTAATGCAAATATTCTTTTACTTTGATTAAAACATTGTACGAAACGGGCTTTTAAACAAATAAATGTAAGGCGTTACTCCCTTGAACAGTTTAACTCAACGTTTTTGCAGTATTGTTTTTTTTTTTATTGTAAAGGACGTGTCTTTATTTAGCCGACTAAGTAATAAAATTTAATAATTTATCGAACTATCATTGTTATAAAATAAATTATTGTTTTTCGGTTGTCAGAAAATGTCTTCTGCTAAAATACGTATTGTTTCGTTTTTTAGTTTCACTAGTATCCAGTTTTCACGAAATTACAAAACATGTATATGGTTGGCTTTAAAACAGCTTGCTACCTGAAAAGACGCTAAAAAAACATACTAGCTGGCACCATTTCGTTCGCAAAATATTATTGTATTATTATATTAATACAAATAATGATGCAAATCTACATATCTATATTTACACTGAACGAGGGTATGATCAAACATTAAACTTTCTATAGTTTCTATATTGATATAACTTAAAATGTAGTTTGTTATGATTATTTATTTTAACATATGACTAACTGATGTTAAGTATCATTCCAAAAAGGGACAAAATCCAGCCATGCATACATTTTTCTCGGCGTATCCTACCTCCCAAACTCGAATTTATAATTATTTCCATAGTATAAATAAATATTGTTAACTGTGGACTATTGCATCAGTTATACATCTTTATTATGTTCTTTCAAGACACAATATACTGGTTTGTACCTTTAATATTGAAAGATTAATCAATTATCTATCCATTCCACGAAATCTAAATTTAAACAATTCTTGACATAACATCCATTAAATGAAGAAATGATAGAACTGCTATTTATAAGTAAGTCCGCATAATACACCTGTGAATGTAAGTATAAGATAAGGTTTCACAAACTAATTAAGCTGTCGGATATCGGGTCAACTTTCACAAGCACGTGTTAGAAGTGTTTAACTTTGGTTATAAAATAAGAATTATATATTTAAAAGACAATAAATGAAGATACATGTATATCTGCAATAGAATGTATAGTAGTATTGTAAAAAGAAAGAGAATTTAAAAGAACAATAAAATAAATAATTGAAATAACAGCATTTGATATATTAACCTAACTTTAATTATTAAATTATTAACTTTAACTTATTAACTATATTTTAATTTAACGCACGGTAATATTAATTTCATTTAAAAATGAACAATAAAACAATTTAGACTGTATGTTTGGGCTTTAAATGCGCAAAGGGTCATGCTCGTAAAAAGATGTATTAGCGATAGTCTTGCTTAAAGTTATTTGTCTGATAACCCTGCGATTCGTGAATCGTTTTTGTGCGATGGCGATGCCATTTGGCAATTATGTTTCGAGCGCCTGCAAGAATCGAATTTTATACTGCTCAAAATGGAAAAAGTACATCTACGGCGCGTACTAGCATGACGTTATGTATGTTTTCTGTTATATAAGAATAAATGTACGGTTAAAAACCACCATTCAACCAATTACTTAGTTTACTCATTGATCATGAGTTAAGGTAAGAATAATCGGTAGAGCACCTTTCATCGTGCATTACCATGCGATCCATTGATTTAATCTAGTCCGGGGGCTTTTACGGATATTAACCCACGAAATGGTTAATTTGGTAATTTCCAATTATTTTTTCACCGTTTTTTTGTAATTATACATTTGAGCGAGTGTTTTTTTTTATACAATTACCGTCATCCTAATCAGTAGTCTTTACATCATAAAGTTCAATATCATTTTTTTATTCATTTCATTTTTAGGGAAGCGGTTGACAAGTGCTTAATGTGTCTGCCTGTCATCTCAGGGGTCATGGGATTTTGTATGCATGTTCAGTTTTGTAACTGTAAGTTAAAATTCCAAGATCGTTTGAGTATTTGTTTGGAGTAATAAAATAATACAAGTACATGTTCTTGAGTATATGTGTAAATATATAATCCAGCGTAAAGTTCTGTAAACCGCGGCTTACGCCTTGGGTAACAGTATTTTCCTCGTGGTTATATGTTACTGATCCCCACAAACATATATGTTGTTTCTATACTATGAGGGGGTTTAGGTAATGTTGTGACTTGTGAAGACCAAATTTATTTAAAAAAATGTTAAATTAGGATATTTACTACTGAATTAACTACTGAATTAAATGTTTTATGTTGTACATTTTTATGCAACTATATATTGATAATTCTAACACGCTTCTGACTATTCCCCTATCAAACAAATAGGGCAATTAAGTGTATTTCTGCACAGCATAAAAACGAATGCTTACACGTAATATGATTGCAATAAAACAAATGACGTCAAGAAAAATACTTCTGCGCTTAATGTAGTTCAACATATATTTAATTTATTCTTTTTTATTAGCATGTTATTTTTTTCTTGCATTTAATGCACGGTTTATCGTACAAATACTTTGTAATTAATCACTCAGGCCCATCGACCTTCGTAATTAT